CCCGAGGCAGGCAAAGGAAGCCCCCCTGCACCTCTTCGCTCACCAGCCTTCCCCCATGTCCCTGTGAGATGGAACAATGTCCCAGTAAGACTGGCTGACAGGGGTCTTCAGCTATTTGGATGGGGCTGAGCAAGGACTGACCACATGAGGAAATGGGGACCAAAAAACAGAGGGTTTACTCACTTCCCTAGCAGATATAAACCAGCTTCACACTGGTTTCACTTGAGCAATTGACCATGATGCTGAGCAGCAGCACAAATACATAGCTCTTAAGCAACACAGCCAGCTCCTTTGGCTTCTCCGAGCTGCCCACAGAACAACACTCATGCACCTCACTTGAATCCATGCATTTTTTATTGTAGCTTCACCATCGCCTTCTCTCAGAAACACAGCCTGGCCATACCCCTTGCATTTACTCAGAAATACCTGTCCAGCTGACCACACAGGCACCTGTTGCTGTAGGAGCTTCCCCAGTGGTCCCTGAGCCCTGGTTCTACATCCCTCCTTTCCTACCCTGTACAGAAGCACCAGGACTGCACTAAGCCCAGCCATGAGAAGCAGGCAGTGGGCTGCCTCACTGACAGTCCTGCCATGTCAGCAGCTCTTTGGAGACAGAAAAGAACCAGAGTCTTGCAGTCTACGTGCTGCAAGCGAGAGGTCTTTTGCAGCTGATAAAAACTTCTCACAGACTACAGTCTCATAGACTGTCAACTTGAGCTGCCATTAAAAAACCCAGAGTCATTCTGCAATGAAACAACTTTTATTGAACTCTTTATATGGTACATTTATCAACATTTGTGCAATAAATACAGAGCATAGTACTGATTTTTCCCAGCTCTTTAAAACATAAGAAGTCTTCCCTTTGTCATGGTAGTGTGTTGACACTACATGGTAAGAAAGGCTGTTGGATGGTGGCTGCCAATGCTAGGCAACACCTAACAGTGAGCATGTGGTGTGAAATTCATAACGGCAAGCAGAAATTTTCATAAACCACTTAGCAATGAGCTTGGTGGGCAGAGAAGACTGGTCTGGCAGCTAGACAGAGCTCTGGAGTCAGGCACAGCTTGTGGAAGAAGCGGGAAGTAATACTGGACACGACAACTTCAAAGTCACTCTTAAGTCATTGCCTCATAACTGCTTGAAAAATATTATACAGATTTTACTGGATAATTGTCTTCAGGTGAGAAAATGAAAGTAGTTTTGCAGAGCCAAGGTATGACCAAAAGGACTGACATTCTCTTACAGTGACACACAAATACAGCATAAAATTATTGATATAAGTATCCACGTGCAAAGAAGTTTTCAGGCTTAGTCAGCACTCACTTAACCAGCACAGGTGAACAGAAGATGCAGGCACCCACTTCAGAAAAACAGACAGCTCTGTTCAAGCTTTGGACTTGGACTTCAGGCTAAAGACAAAAACAAACTGCAATGCCCTTCTTGGTCCTCATAGTACTTGAAACAGAGGCGAGTCCAGTGTTAATACAACCCCACCACTACAAACCAGAAAAAGCATCACACTTGTAAACTTTTGCATCAGAAAAACTTCAGCTTCGCAGGATTCCCTGTCCCCTTCTCTTTGTTGCCTTCATCCCGGCTACAGCAAAGAGCTCTGGAAAGCTTTTCAGTCATTCAGCAGCTCCTTGTATTTACCCAATTCCTCTGGTCAAACAGGGCTGTACTGTGAGTAAGAGTGGCTGCTGGCCACTGCCTCCTCCTTGTGCCAGCGTAGAACGAGAGACAGCTCCTGCTCCTAAACCACACAGGCAGAGCAGAGCAGGTGGATTTCTTGGATGCTCTGGGTTACTTGGATTGCTTTAGACTCATATCCCATCCTCCCTACCAGCTCTAACCACCCCTTCTTTCTTACAGTCAGCAATGCTACCTGTTTTCATGACACTACAGAGATTTATTTATGAGTGGTAAACTGAAAAACCCAAAATCTTTACACTTTTATGTCACAGGTAAAGCTACCCATTAATCTTCTGCTGCTCCAACTCTTTCCTATACTTCTGTTCTGAAAAGCAAAATCTCCTACCCTCCTCATATTTCTTGCTTAATTCAGTCAGGCCGGGACACTGAGCTTTTACAGGCACAAAAAAGAAAATTAAAAAAAACAAACCCAAAATACTTAAGCAGCCACCTTGTCCACTCCCATCACTGAAGGTCAGATGGAAAATGAGGAAAAACAGGGTAAACTTTCAAGAGCAACAGTAATGTCAAAATGCAGCAGCAGTGACAGCTATGATTGCAGCAAACACATCAGATAGCAGCATCCAGTGAAGTACACAGGTTCTTTAACAAGTGTGGGAATCAAAAATGCAGTGAAAATACAAGTAATCAAAGACATAAGTCTCTCAGTCTTCCCTGTAAAAAACAGATAAGAACATATATCTGACAACAGTATTTGAAATAATGGGGAAAGGAGTTTAGAAGCTTGGTAGAGATGCTAATGCCTTAAGGGATACAACTGACCATTCGCAAACCCTCTCTGCACTGAGAAACATAAAGGATGTTAAAAGTGCTAAGATCAAAGACTTAACTGTGCTAAATTATTTATGAGCCCTTGGGAAGTAGTGGAAAAAAAAAAACACAGTTTGAAAGACGAGTTATTAGGCTCTTCCAAGCAGTAACAGGAGGTAAGGCAGAGCTGTTCAGCCTAGAAAAGCAAATACAGATTTGAAAAGAGCGTCTTTAGCACAAAGACACATCTCATACTTGCACTACTTCAGCTTTCTACTAGTCAAAGCACTCAAGCTGGAGTTGCTACTACAGTGAGGGGGAACAGTGAGAAAGAAGTCACTATACAGCATAAGGGTAAAAAAAGTAAAATAAAATAAAACAAAACAAACCATCCTTTAAAATCAATTATTATTGAAGTTGCACATTTTTAGACTTTATAGTAGTTTACTCCAGAGCCTTGGGAATAGTTGACTTAAATCTTAAAGTAGTATATGAATTTATTGGTTAAACCATAGTTTAAAGGTAAGTATGGGTCATGTTACTTCAGCAACAGCCCTAATCTGAAGGGACAGCCAATAACTAAGGAAATAAACTGAACAAGGGCAAAATAAACTTAGCATTCACCAGCATGGCATTAAAGAGTTACCAAAAACCCATCTGAGGCTTTTTATTATTACAACAAAGTTTTTAACATTCATGAATTTAAGGTGAGAGAGAAGCAGCTAGAAAGCAAAGCAGGCTGCCACACTGCTGGCAGGCAGACACTGCCACTGGTGACACCTCTTTGGCTGTGAGCTCTTATCCCTCTCCAGCATCACCCAAGGCACAAGCGCAGAGGGTCTGCTTGATGTGTGTTGCTCAGCACCGACATAGGACAGGGCAGCTTCCACCACCTCTCTCCCCTGAGCACACACTTCCAAAATGTATGGCAAATTCCACTGCCACAGGGAGGCCGGCAAGGTAGAAAATCTATATACAGGAGGTAGTAACTGTGATTTTTAACTAAGCTCTTTGTTTTCCTCTCAGCTGACTCACAACTCCCTTCAGCTTTAAAAACAAACCAACCAACCAACCCGAACTCTGCTATCCTACCAGCAATAGCCCCGGACTAAATAGTATTTTTCTACTTCAGTGAAAAGAGAGGCAAGCTAAGAAAAGTGTCACTCTTGCTGATTGAAACCTTTATTCTTGGCAAAAGGCCACTTAGAAGATGATTAGAGCAGTCTTGATGGAGAACAGCTACTTCTCCTGTAACCATGGGGTGATTCCACACACCACTACCACTAACAGCAGTCAGTAGCCTGGGCACAGCAGAGTACGGATGGGGCTGCCAGTGCCAGCCCCTGCCAGGGCTACGCAAGCCAAACATTATAGAAAAAATCCAGAGTTACAGAAGCAGTGAAAAGCTGTAGCTGCACACACCGACTGCACATGACTCTCGTTTACTCTCAGCAGCACCAGCCCACAGCACATTTGCCAGTTACTTCCAAGCTTGGCTACAGTGAATTCAATTAATAGCAGGGTTTTTCTCTTGGAATAAGGTGCTACAGTGTAAGAGCACTTGAACAGAACTTGAAAGAGTTTACAGCTCTTAACAAGATTACCTTTATGCCTGTTTCAGAAGAGCCAAAAATAAGCATTTTAAGATAAATAAGAGGGTGTGAAGGTAAAGGCAAGGTAGCAGATGAAAGTGTGATTTTTCAAAAACCTTCAGGAAAGAAGCTTGATCTCACCTTTTAATCTTTTCACTTGAAATCAGAATCATAGAATAGTTTGGGTTGGAAGGGACCTATAAAAGCCATCTTAGTCCAACCCCCCTGCAATGAGAAACCTGTGCTTACTTATCAGGGTAGAATTGGAAAAAAAGTAAGGTTTGCCTTCACAGTGAAAGCTGGTGCACCGAGCAGAATACAGTCAGTAGCGTGCTTGTCACTTCACTCTCAGGCTTCCACTCAAGTCAGTTTTCCCTCAGAGCAGCTGGCTGAAACAAGCCTTAACTCCAGCCCTCAGGATCTCCTCCTGTTTTACACTAATATCACCAAAATGGAAACCCTTTCTTCTCTCCACATCCCAGACCCATTTTTGTCTTCACACAGGTATTAGTTAACTTAGAACCTTTGCACAAAAAAAAGAAAAATATAAATCCAACGTTTTCCAGAGCTCTCTTAGGCCCCTGCTTCAGAAATTCTTTATTTCAAGACATTTGATGAATCTGAAACTATTTTGGAAAGCCAGACTTTAGACGTAACAAGTAAGGAACATACCAGTTAATTTAGGCAATATTTTTACATATATATATAGGTAAAAAAATAAATTGTCTTGATAAGAAATATTGTATAACTTGATTAAGAAACAAGTCCCCAGAAGCTGTGCAATACAGCAAAATGCACTGGCTGTAGAGCTGACACCAAGATAGCTAACTGCTTATTTTCAGAATTTAAACAAAACAAAACACTCTAAGGACAGACCACTCTACCTAAGAAATAAACCCGATTCTTTGTTGGAGATTGCAAAGTGTCGTTGAAGAGGCTCTGCGTTGCTGCTTGACTTTAGTTGGCCTTTCTTTCCCGTTCTCGTGCAGTCACAAAGTTAAGCAGGTCGATGGCTGTGACGATGCCAAACACCATTTGCCGCTTACTGGAGGAACCATCACTGTGATCTGCACAGAAACAAAAGAGGGGATCCTGGCTTTAGGAGGCACAAAACCACATGATCTCACTTGCTTTTAATGACGCTGTTTGTAAAGACAAGTGCCAAACCAACCCAGCTCCGTTGTCAGGGCCTGCTGGCAGAGTTGGTTATCACTGATGACCCTTGTACACTGAGGGGGAACCCAAATGTCTTCTTGGCCAACAGTCACACAGAGAGCAGCAAGGATTTTTATTTCAGATAGGCTTCTCAACAAGAGGGATTAACAAACTGAAACATTATGAAAGGAAGGATGAAAGGTCCATCAGATTTGTTTTTCTTGACAAAAATTCAAACCAAATGCTCGGTTACAAAGTATATTTTCCTCATGCATGAGTTTCTGTGGCTCTACCTGAAACAGTCGCAGACTGATATTATCTCATTTGAACCAGGGATCACTAGAGGATATGCAAAACTACCTCTTCCTACATCACCATCAAATACAGATTTAGTAAAAAAAAAAAAAAACAACCAAAAAAAGAGTACAACATTTTCCCATTTATATTCAAAAACCTTATTAACAATCTAATCATTGCTGCATTGAGAGCACAGATTCAGTGATTATTCACAGTTCACATAAGCCTTTGACCTGGGAACTGCGTGGCCAAGTGATCTCTGGCCCATTATCTATGGCCTAAGCTCCCTGTTCCTGTAGTCTGGCTGTACTGAGATGTTTAGCCTACTTGTATACTCAGTTTGTTCAGCCAGATGGGATGTCCTGGACTTTTCATTTGCCTTGTTCCATTATAAGCTTCCAGGGAGATTCTAGCCTTTTAAATAGCGCAGAGTCAAAAACACATCCTTACGGAGATTATCAGGAACAAGCTCAAATTTGATGACTATTCTTCATTTACAGTTGTAGTTGAGATAGCTGTCCGATAAGTTTATCTGATGAGACTTAATGTTTTTAGCCTAGTTTCTCAGTGTTTGTAATTTTGCAAGCTGCCTGCTATAAGGAATATAAAACTGGCAAGAGTATTATTCACATATAGTAGTGATATACCATAGCTTTGAAGATTTATTTAGTCATTTCCAGTTCAAGAAGAAGGCAGTGTAGAGTTTCGAGAAAAAAAAAGCAGATTTTGGAAGAAAAACATCAAGTGAAAGGGAGTAAGTTAGATTAAATGAAATAAACAGGAAAAAGAAGTATCAGGCTGTCTTCAGACAGTGATGTCAGTGTTGACATCTAGATCTTAGTAAACTGTATTGTAACAAAGGTTTTGATTTAGAAAGGCAAAAAATTGAGGTATAGTTAACCTGGGACATTCACTGTGATGGAACTGCTGGAAGTTGTATGATAGGAGTAGAAAGAAGCAAAGATGAGTTGCACTGCAGGAGCCTATTCACTGGCTTACCACTACTAGCAAAGACACTGCACAGTGGACTAGACTCTGGCATTCAATTCTGAGCAGTAACTTGCTCCAAAAGCAGGTACATTACACTATGTGGGGTTATTAATGGATTTAACACTTACTCTCCAAGAACTGCTGCACTAGGGTCTTAGTAAGCATTAGCACAGAAAGAGGACCTCGCTTCTTCAGAACTTGTTGATGCTCTCACACTTGTACTTGCTTCTTGTTATCAATCAAAGATTACCCTCTTAAAAGGCATGGTACATGATACTCACATTGAATTTGTTCATGAACCACTAGAGCAAAGTGGTCTATTTCCAGGATATGAGAGAGTTTCCCCAAGTTGTCTTTCAGGTTAATCTGAGGAGAGAGTTACAAAACTTAGATAAAACAGTTCTTTATATATTGAGTGGTCGAAAATCCCCACATACTTCATGCAGTAGTAAAAACAATACATCAGCATTTATATACAGCTCCCACGTGAAGTATTGTAAAAACACTAAACAAATCAAGGCCAACTTAAGAGATCAGAGTTTTCTTTGTTTCTGATTTCCAAGAAGACAAAACAAAAAAATTAAGCACTACAGGGAATTATTAATTCTGATTCTGAAAACATAATGAATATACTGAACATACTGAATATCTGAAAAACCTTAATGATGGAAGAAGGCCAATTGTTCCATGTGTCTAACAAAAGGAAGATCCCATAAAACTCATTATACCTGGTGATTTTACTCTAGCAAGACTGGGAAAAAGTGAATGAATCAGGCTTCAAATCAGTGTGGAAGTGAATATACTCTGCAAAGGCAGCAGAGGAAAAGAAAAGCCCAAACAAGCCAAAACCAAAACTAAGTGTGAAGATTGCTGCACTAACAACTGCATTCAGGTGCAAATCAAGGAACTGAGAAGTAAGAATTCATTTTTAGAGAAGTTCAGCTTTGCTGTGACTAAACAGGAAAGCATCCTGTGTTGACTCTGCAGAAACAATAGATTCTTCTGTAACACTTAGCTAGTCACCTACTGGCACCATTTGAAAGAATGCAGAAAACTGCTCTTCCTACATGCTCTAATACATTAGGCAGCAGCACATCAATTACTCAGGTGACTCTCCCCACGTAACAGCAGCACCCACCATCTGACATACTTTCATTAAACGGGATTAAAGGAGTTTACAGCACAAAAAGACTTGCATTGCAGATTAAAAAAACTCTTTATCCTGCAGTGGGCTCAGCTTGTGACTGAGGAATAAATGCCACAGCACGAGCAGCTGGGCTGCACTGGAACACAGAGCTCTGGTCTCCATACTGCGAGTTAGAAGAGATCTAAAAGATTCCCAGCAGCCTGTGTTTAAGGGATCAGCAGGCTACAGTGCATACTGGAGCATTAATCCCTAGTCTTGTGGGCTATGCAAGGGGCAGGGGGAAATCCAGATCTGCTGCCACATCAGTAACCATCACTGACAAGCAGTTTTGTGTGAATGTACATGCACAGCCTAACTTCTGAACCTAAGTTCAAAGCTCACTGAAGGGGTAGAGCCTCTTGCCATCTGATTATGTATTAGCAATACACCCGTTTTCAGGGACTTGGTAGGCTAAAGATGACCAGGACAAGCAGCCGATGAACAGCACTTGGGCAACTATGAAGACCTAAATATTTTTTGAAATCCTTAATTGAAATCTATCAGAACTCTAACACTGTTTTCATCCGTCTTACTACTACTAATTCAAGCTCCCTAAAAATTTTGCCCATGAGTTTTCCCCCATTTAGGCACTTTTTTTAAAACCTGCTAAGTCTTTAAGGCAATTAGCCTATGCACATGCTACTAAAGTACACATGACTGGAACTGCTTGTTTGGCTCTAAGGGCAAGTGATGAGGCACTCTAAATTCGTGACTCTAAATTCTCTCCTTCCCTAGAAGTAGGCTCTGGTCCAGAGGGATGCTGGGGACACCAGTCTTTGCATTGTTTAGCAGAGTGCTAAACAGTTTAGGACACTAACCAAAAATCACACCAGGGAACGGGCTAACCATGAAACATTAGGTGTAGTAACAAGAAAGTGTCAGTCCTATTTTCTGGTAAAGGCAGACAAGAAGTCTGCTAAGGCTATGTCTGCACCACACCTAACAGATATTAGTAGCTGATGCAAAAATCCTTCAGGGAAGAGAGGGTAAAGAGACCCCAAACCGCTGGAACTAACATCTGACTCCACAAAAATGGCCTTCCTCTCCACTAACACACAGCACTTGCTTAGACTGCCAAATTATCCTGTGACTAGTGTTTCAAAGCCCTAGAGTACTATCCTACTGCAGACTTTTTAAAAGCTATAACAATTACTCCTCCATTTTACGAGATCATCACAAAATAATTGTGGCAATCATATCAAGGAAAGCTTCCTGTGTTGCCAAGAGATGATCTGCTTTGGTAGTCACAGGCTGAGCAGACCTCTCTCTTATTGATGCTGTGGTACAGATCCTAACTGTAGGATATCTGAAGTAATTTCAGTGATACAGATGACGTGTTTTCCCAATTTGACCAGTAAACAAGCCAAATAAGCTTGACTAAAGTGCTAAGAAAAGCAAAATCCACAATACTTCTGAGGTTATGTGCATTTAACCACGTTTCTCCATTAAATCATCAATTCAAATGGAAAACAACCAAAGAACGATGCTTTTAGTTAGGACGTTAGCAATACCACCACTTCTGTGTCACTTGCGTTCCATCCTCCACCAAGAAAAAGTCAGAACTACAGAGAAGAGACACAGTTAAGCTGTTCTTTAACGAAGAAGCATGAGAAACTTCAAGCTGCCCATGGAAAAAAGCCAGAACCTCAGAAATGCAGAGAATTGGCTACTACAACTAACACCAGTGTAGCTACAGAAATGATTGCACGCCACCAGCCCCAGAAACTCTTAAAAGCATCCAAGTGAGGAAGGACGTGAACTAAACAGCTTTGTTACGCACCACATTTCCACCTGATGCTTGATTCTCTGTCTGGGAGGGAAAAAATATGTTTACATTTGTCCATAAAGAACCAGCATCCTTTCTCAACCTCAGGGATTTGGTATTTTGTAGACTGAACAGCAGCATTACACATACTTCCGGAATACAGCACCTCATCTACTATGAGACAGTGTTGAAACTAAAAGTCTGGTGAAAACTAGGTTAAGCATTCCACATTAAAAATAAAATATTTTTTGTGCTAGAGAAGCAAAGCAACAATACTTATATACTTTAGAAGAGCACCCATATAGCTGGAAAGTTGTGGTATCTTGGCATGCCCACATTGGATGAACACATGAAACTCACTAACATAAAAAGTCACATATCTTGACAACATCAGCTTTCAGCAGCCATCCCCCTGTTTCAGCATGGGATCTGTTACAAAAGGCAAACAGTTGCTTGTTTTTAGCCGATACAGAGATTTAGAAAAGCTGTTTCAGCATCTCCCTGTCTCTTCCCCTGGGTAGTTCCATTGCCCAGACTTCTGCCAGGGCTTTTATCAGGAGGGAGGAAAGAACAAGCACACTAGAAGAAAGCCTGTTGGAAGTAATGGAACAGCACAATATAAGGCCACAACATAAGCCCAGGAGTGCTGAGTGACCTAGGACAGAGTTTAGAGCATATCTGTGCTCCGTAGCAGCTGCTCTGTGTGGTTCTGAGTAAACCTTACCCAACCTTATGCCATCATAGTGTTAGGACACCTACAGTCATACTTTAAGCCAGAGAACTAGGAGTTGTAGAATACACCTGCTCACCTGTTTAAATTGCTTGTAGATTACTTTGCTGACTTCATCAGAAGGTTGAACTTTTCCAGCAAGCAGTGAAGAAAGCATGTTACCCAGGGTAACCATGCCCAAAATGACCCTGGGGAAGGAGAGAGAGAAGATAAGGCTAAACACCTCAAAAGCCTCAGGTGTTCCCGTAGATAGAAGTATCCACTCTCAGCCAGCCTGGAAAATTCAGTTCAACTGCTTCATGGTATAAAGCAACATTATTGATGGCATACTTGGATTCTGTGTCTCTGCAGGAAGAAGTTCTGGAGACTCACACAGAAGTCAGCAGGTGCTGTGGGTGCCTGGCCCTTCTGAGCATCAGGCTCTTTGTATCTTGAGTTCTTGCAACTGGGGAGCTGCTTGCAATCTGAGAGAGCTTTTGAAAAGAGTAACTTCTGCTTTATGTCCTCATCTGTCCTTTGAAAGGTGTGACAGGGCTAAAGACATTCTTGCCTCAATGTTGCTCATTCCCCTTCTCCCTGCAAGGATGTTGCAAGGACCTGCAACAATTAATCCCTTGAGTTAGCACGCTAACTGGAGAGTAACTGAGCAGCTCTTCATTAGTAATACGGCATACTGGCTTGCTGGGGACACCCTGGTTTATAGGGGTCACTATAACATTGCACCATAATGCAGTGTTCTGAGAAACTGGGTGAAAGTCTTGGTGGAGATGGGTAGGTTTGGCATTATTTGTTTTAAATATGATTTTTTGCTTTACTAAGTTAAACAACTATTATAAAACACCCAATGAAATTGTCCTGCAGAGACACACTGAGTAAGTATATCATAATAATCATTAGAAGTTTTTTATGTGCAGAGCAGGAGAGTCCTGGCATTTCAACATATAAAAGACAGCATTAGTGTGTTTAAGGTAACATTTCTGAACTGTATTACTATAACTGAAGAAAGATGAGTGACAGGATACTATACTTTTTGTAAGCATTTAAAGACATCCCTTGGGACCTGGTGAGGGAAGTGATACATATGGATGAATAGTGATATACGTGGACATACCCAGATTCATCAACAACTGGTACCTGGTCGAATCCCTTCTCCCGGAGAATTTCAACAGTCTTTGCACAGGTAACAGTTGGAAGCACAGTCAGGGGAGCAGAGAGACTCAGTTCCTGAACACTGATGTTCCACCACCTGGGGATGAAACAAAAAACAAGCCCATGCAAGTCTTCTGGAGAGAATGGAACCAGTTGCTCATGTACAGTGTCCTTCAACACTACAGGAGTGACAAAAGGCTGCAAGGAAGAGTCAGGATTCGGCCAGAATCAGTAAACCTTCAAGGCTTTCAAGTTTTCTCCCCAGTAGCAGAAAGTCACTGAAGTGTGAGAAGGCTTTAAGACTGCAACGCTTTTTCTCATTTTATCTACTTTCTGGAATTACAGATAGTTAATGGACAGTACTAACTTCCCCAGTTTCATTATTTATATCTTACACAGAAAATTTTGGGCTCATACTGAAAAAGCTAGTCATACTTACAGTCATAGGTAGCAAATTAGGGAAGATCCCCCTCCACTTATGTAGGCTTGCACTGCTTTGCATTCAAGAACTCTGATCTCACAAAGGTTCTTTAGATACTATGTTTTCATTTCAGATACAATGCTCTTCACAAAAAAAACAAACTCAAACCATTAACTACCAAGTTTTCTTCTGCAACCATGCAACTCAAAGAAGGAAATCAACTAATTTAAACAGATTTGATTAACAGCTGCAATTTTATGTCAACACAATAGCATGAAAGATTATCCAAATCATAGCAAGTAGTGCAAATTGAAAAGAGTTTTAAAGCAGCAATTGCCATGAAGACGACTGAATAGACTTATGAAAATCCAAATGGATCTGACATGCTTACCAAGGTTTGTTTACAAGATCATCTTCTTCTTTCATGAACCCTTTCTGAATCATCCATTTGTCACTCAGGAACTTGGACCTGGAAAGCATTAGGAAGTAAAAAGTTCATTAGCAGGCTGAACATCTTGTCAGTAAACCAAATAGCACACAAAGGCAACTGTTTACAGCTCACTACCACTAACACAAAGCGTTATTGAAAATATACTACTGTCATTTGCCATCCAAGCTTACCAGCCAGGCATATTGAGAAGAAATACTCACAGAAAGAAAAAGGAATCCCATAGGAAATGAAGCTTCAACTACATCAGTCCCTTGCAATACAATAGAGAGACAGCCTGTACTCAGGCAAGGTCTGTCTGCAGTTTCTAGTCATCTAGTATTGTGCTGGATTCAACAGAAGTCACGAAACATCCCAAAACATGATGGTTTTAGCCGTATGTTTCACTGCAGTGGGAGAAGAACTCAGCACAGCTCAAAGCCCTCACCTGTAAACTCACGACAGCACTGCCTGCTGCTACAGTAGTGCTGTGTTCTGCTATGGACACGGGTACAGAGAGCAGAAAGCCTTACAGGGACCCTTCCAGGAGTGGGATAATACCAATGGTCCCCAGGAAATGAAACAGTGAAAGCAAGTCTTTTCCTGTGAAAGATGCTAACCAGTGATGGTTATGTAATGAAGTCAGACAAGGAGGAGCTTCGCTTCCAGAGGGCTAAGCTCCTTCCTACCCCACATCAGACTCTTTTTAGATACTTCAGAACTTGTGCCCAAAACACATTCCTTGCTTTGGTAACTGAGAGCTATAAGAAATAAGGTCTGAGGGACTGCCTCACCCTTTTCCCAGAGAGACCGAAAAAAACCCAAACAGATTCTTACATGTAGTTCCTGATAGAGTCAGGGAGGATAACAACACAGCGCTGACCTTCCTTCAGCTCTTTGGCTGCCTTCACAGCTACAGACATGGCACTGCCTGAGCTGCCACCTGCCAAAATGCAGATCAGAGGCAAAACTGTCAAACTAAGTGAAATGAGAAAGAATGAAAAAGAAGAGAGGCAGCAGAGAAGCCCAGGGTGAGGAAGACACCTTTTGAAGTAGAAGGAAGTCTCCTTGATCTACACAAGGCTTCAGCCTCCCACATATTATTCAGAGAAACCCAAAAGATTCCCATCTGCTCTTACCACACAGCAGTCCTTCCTCTCGGATCAGCATGCGTGCTAAAGCAAATGACTCCTCATCACTGCTCTTGTACCACTGGTCCACTGCCTGGGAAGCAGGAGGAAGAGAGAAACAAGGGCATATTTAAATAAGGAGGGCTAAGGGAGCTACACAACTAGTGTGAATTCAACCTATGCTCTTTGAGGTAACAGCTGCCTACTGAGCCATGTGCCTGGGTTTCCATCCTCCAAATGCCAAATGTTGGGTTTTTTTGCCAGGGTAAGATGATCACATTAGCACAACAGACTCCTTATTGAAACCTCGCTGTGAAAACAGGCTGTTGTGAGACAGCCACAGAGAGAATCAAACAGTTTTCTACCCTCTTGGAGGGCTTCCCAGAGACACAGGCTCTGCTCAGAACATAGTCATACCACTTTTGGTCAGAAGGTGTTGGAGTGCTTTGTTGGGGATTTTTTTTTTTTTTTTAACTGAAGTACTGTGTTTTAGGAGAACATTATCTGCCCACTGCATTTCCACCTAGCATTGCAAAACAAATGTGGCCAGTGCAAAAGCCTTCCGAGGACTGCTTTTGCTGATGGAAAGAACAGGAATAGTTCTGACCTGCTAGCCCTCCCCTTTCAGCTCAGGGAAAGACTTTGACAAGTTTTTCCTCCACCTTTCTCCTCACTTCTGCATCCCACTAGAGGGCAAAGGGCAGTAAACCAAGAAGCACGACTTACAGATCTATCCAACACTGTGGGGACAAAATCATATCCGATTCCTTCCACTTCATACATTGTCTTGTCTGTCTTGTTGAGTTCTTCTGGTGTAGCAAGGATGGAGCCTTCAGGATCAACACCTATAATCTGGAGAAGCAGTTTCTATTTTGGCTACCATGACGCACTGCTTTTGAGAACACAGCTATTTACTCATGAGCGCTGGCCTCATTGCAGCTGTTGGTGTCACACTGGCTGCACACACAGCCAAGCTAACAGCAACATAGTCTCCTATTCATTTCATCCTGGCAACATTCACCTCCCCTGTGAGCAAAATGCTTTGCTGCTTCTGGCCCCTTGGCAACCCATCCTGTCTCCTCAGGCTGTGAACACTAAGTGAGGGGGCACCACTTGTTCTATACAGATCTTGTTTGGTTTAAACAGAAGACAGGGTTTCCCAAGACAAGATTGTCCTCATTCACATATCAGGCATCATTACGGCCAATATATTTTGTGCCAAGTGTAAGCACATAAGTTTTATTTTGTTTACCACTCCCTGTCTATGTAGGAAAATATTTATGATTGAAACACGATACCAATTTCTGTAAGGAAATCTAACATAGCACACAGGTAGACACACAGGTTGGTGTGTGCAGAGGAAGTTTCACTTGGTAAAACCTCAACACCTCCAGACAAGTTAGTGGAGGCACAGTCAGAGAGGAAACAGAAGGCTGCAGTACACACCAGAGAAGGAAATTTCTCAGACACCCCATGAAGGGATCTGCAGGCCAGTTTTCATCTGCTGAGCCAAACCTGAACTCTGGTCACCAGTGAGACCAGAATATGATGATTTCTGACAGTCTGAAAACTTTTCTTTGCTGCTCAGAGCTACCTTCTAACTGAGAACATCCAAGAGCTTCCCACAGAGACCCAGGACAGGCTTGCACCAAATGGGGTGTGCCAACTGGAGCACTTTTTGGTTCATGCCACTGAAGAGAAATGCTTTAGGCTTGTCACTTACTTTGCAACCTGGACACTTCTCCTTTAGCTTTCTGGAGATGCCGGTGATAGTACCTCCTGTGCCAGCTCCAGCCACCAGCATGTCTATTTTTCCTGTTTAAAGGTGGGGGATAGAAGGCAGTTGTGAAATCGCCCCCAGAATAATAGATTAAAAAAAACACTTAGACCTAAATATGGACTTTTTTAACAAAAATGGGCAAGATAATGCTCTTTGCTTCCCAAGAGCTGTGTTATGAGACCTACCTTGAGGCTACCTTGCTCCCCATTCACTTCAATAATGCTTTTGAAGTGTCCATCCAGTGGCCTAGCAAGGCACCAATTTGTGGTACTTTGGACAGAGCTGGAGGTGGCCCATACAGCTGACACCTGTATTTTTCCTGTTACTGTATTTGCTGATGTAAATAATTCAGTCTTTAACTTAGAATGAACAGCCCATTATATGAGTTAATTTACTGAATGAGTGCCAAGAGCATGGGATAGGTACCCATTCAGAGAACTGTTAACATAACTACTCATTTTCATGTGAAAAATACAGTCATGAGCACTCAAGAGTAACAGCAGGTATGATAGCTCATTCTTCTGCCACCCCCTACAGTTTCCATGGTGCATCCACATGATAAGCTTTGTTAATGAAAAATAAACCACACCAATTCATGCACAAAACCAAATGCCTACCAGTCAAAAGAATAACACCCTGCCAAGGAGGGGTATAAGCTCAATAATAACTGGACAGTGACTGGCCTATGAGGAAAAGTAAATACAAACAAGAAGCCTAAAGCTAGAACTTGTCTAGACTTTGTTTGTGGGATGGCATACTGTTAAAGTATACCTGTTGTAACTCAAACAAAGAAAGTTTGCCACAGAAAGGCAAGCTGAACCCTCTGAACAGCTACTTTTGTGGGGGGAGGAAGGGAAGGAGGAGAACCCTTCACATGGTCCTCTCCGGAATGCAAAGGAATTTAATAGCAGATTTTCTTATTAGAGGGTCCCATCAAAAACTCTTTTATAAGTCACGTTAGTAGCCTCCTATAAGACTTCCTCCTACCACCCACAACAAATGCCTACATGGTAGGTTGCAGCATCACACCGAATGCCTCCAATAGCTCTCAAACCAATACCTCTGTTGGAGCTAAAGGTCTCTGCTGCCACAGCTCAATCACTTCTGGTACTCCAACCTGGCTGCTTAGAGCTAACAGAGAAGCAAGCTCTGCAGAGTAAACGGGTCTTACTGGTGACAACTGCACCAGAGCGGTT